TGAGCTGCAGCTTGAGAACTGCTGTGTTGTATGATTAAAGAAAAACAGAATACCAGTCAATACTGTAAAGCCACTGGAAAACCATTTCTCTTGTACTGTATATAAAAAAAATTGTGATTATTTTTAAAATATTTGATCTTCCAGACCCATTTTATTTTTTCCCCTTTAAACAATAAAATTAAGGCCATCTCTTAAAACTGGAAATGACTATCAGTTATTTCTTGAAGAATAATAAAAGTCACACTATATAGACTTTGATAAGCTTAAAATAATAATTTTGGAAGTTGGGCCAAAGAATATGAGAGAGAGAGAGAGAGAGAGAGAGAGAGATTCCTGCTTATATATGCAGCCAAAAATCTGGGCACTAAAATTCACAGTGCAAAGAATTTTTACTGTTGTTGGCTTCAGCTTGCATCTTATATTGATGGTTCATTACAGTACATGTATTGCTAATGTTTTATGAACTTAAAGCACACCATTTAGACCTAATGGCATTTTCTCTATACTGTAATCGCATTTCATAAAAGCTAAACTATACACATCTGATATTAAAAGTATGTTCTTACTACACTCCCTAAAGAGTGCAGAAGACCTGCCTGTATACAATTCATCAGTCCTATACATATACTGAATAGAAGTTTTACATATATCATTGAGAAATATCTTAAGGTTGCGTTTAGCTTTTCCCTTTTCTTACAGTTTAAACTCGTTTGCTCCTAGTGCACTTTTTCCTCAAGTTTCACTAAGATGAATCCTACTGATCATATTCAACCAATAGGTACCAATAACTTCAGTGACACTATTCACATGAATAAGGCAAGCAGAATTTAGCTTTAAATGACAGATACTCATTAAACATGGCTGTTTTCTATCAAAAATATAAAACATGGCTGCTTTCAATCCTTCTCAAAATAGAAGCTTTCACTCCTCTCAAAAGTTTTACAATGTTAAGGCTGAACATTGTAGTGACTCTACATTAAGATCAGTTACTTCTCTTAAATAATGTTAGCAAATGGTAAAGTTCATAAAAATAAATTCTTGGGATTACTCCAATATGTAATGGGAGCCCTCTGTTAATGGTGAACTGGGCTTTGGGTGGGGCCTTCTATCCAGTTTTTGTAAGCTGTCATAGGTCCACTGCTGTCTGTGAACCATTAACAGTTAACACCAGGTCAGGATCTACCCGGTGGAATCTAAATCAGAGGAAATATTTCCAACATTAAAGTAGCAATGTGTATGTTGATGTACATGTTGCTATGTCAGCATGTTTTCTGTAGGCCTTCTGTAACTGTAAATATTTTTTCCATAAATGTTTGTTCCAATCAAAAACTTGGCATGCAGAGCTTCTACCTTGCTTAAAAAAACCAAACATCATTATGTCCAATTCTATTTCAATGCAGAGTACTGTGTGGGTCTTTTAAAAAAGTATTTGGGGAAACAAACTGGTAACAAAACACCCAGTTGGAAGTAATGTTTTTTAAGGTTAAAAAGTATGTAAAAATGTTTATTACAGCAGCCTAAGTCCTTGCTTGCACATGACTACTATAGCTTCATTTTTAAAAATTACATAATTAATCACAATATGATCACAGCACAGTAGTAATTCAGAGGCAAAATGTTCTGACAAGGTCACAAGATTGTGATGTAAAAATCTAGAGTTAAAGATTTTGAAACATTCCTTTGTCTGTAGAATTTAATGTGGATAATGTCTGTGAGGTTGTTTCTAAACTACTCAAACCTATAGAATGTAACAGAATTATTTTCTCTCATAGAATTTTGCAGATTGATTTAAAATACTATTAAAAACAAGATTTCATTCTCCAGGATTATTTTACAGAGATGCATGAGAATGCAGCCTCAATCCCCTAATTTATAGATACAATAACTTTTTCTGGGGGATAACTGTCAAGTAACAAAAAGGATGTTGAGATTGTAATAAATGTGGCAGCTAGACTGGCAGGCTAGATTGTAACATTTCTAGGAAGACTTCGGTTCGGTAAATCCAAAATTAAGACTTTATATGGCTCAATTCTATAATCATTAAAATCTTTATACAAATACAGATTTACAGGTTAGAATGCAATGGCTAACTCCGTTAGTAAATTATATAGTATTAAAAGGAACACAAGGCTTTCAGTTCACATCTGCCTGATTTTTATCTCCATACCGTGTTTATGGAAGATGCTGAGACAGCTACAAAAGGCTCCTGTGGTCTATTGGGGATTTAATGTCTAATAAAAAATGATGAATACATATCTAATGATTGCACAGGACAGTGCTAAAGTAGTCATATGTGAGTAAATCATAAAAGTTCCAAAATATTATTTAAATGTCAGTTACCTGCTTTGAATAAGCTGTGTCAGGTTCATCAAGTACATTTATGGTATGGGTGAGTTCTTGGCTCTTCTGAAGTCAATGGAAGGTGGGGCCTGGATTTCAGCTCATTACAGATTTATAAAATGTAGCAATGGATTGAAAGGTTCATTTTATAATTCATTATCCCCCAGTAC